AGTCATCTAGTGGTTCTAAAGTATACTCCGATATTTAAAATAAAAAAAACCTCATGAATAGCTATTTTCCTTGAGGGAGCCGATGGAAAAGTTCTCGTGTGAAAGTACACTATACTAAAGAAACTAGTACTTAACATCAACCAAAGATTCAAGGGGAATCCAATTGGTGTAAAAGTTCTTGCATTTTCCACCCAACTATTAATGCCACTTTTTCCCTAATACATAATACAGTAAAGACCATAGACCCTTCTATTCCATAACCTTGCATACGTATATTACCAAAAATGGGTGGATTTGGGGGGGCATCTGTTCTAGTTGCCCTAGCTTGGAGACTCTATCTTGGAGATGGATTTTGATTCCGAGGCTTCGCAGTCTTGACTACCGCAATCGTGAATTTGATAAAAAAATATAATTTTTAACCTTAAGAATACTCCATTTATATTTTTATGTATATATATATATAGATCACTCATTTCAAAATTTCAAAGATCATCAGATATACCCATTTAGAATTCCAAATTCATAGATTTGAAGAGGAAATAGACTTACGATGGCTATTTCGAGTCCTAAAGCCCTCGAAATCCAAGGCAGTTGCTTGACGGGCCGACTCATCGAAGATTTTTGGATTAAAAATTGAGTGTGTTTCTCATGTACTTGGGCAATTTGTATCAAAATGCCCAACTAATTATTATTTCTGACCTAGTAAATGCCTCAAATAATATATGATTAGCAAATCCTTGCAGTTGGGAAAAGTTATATACATATATTCTATAAATCTTGACCTTTAAGATCTTACATTAATTCTTAAAGCATCTCTCAAAGTGGGTTCCCTCTTGTTCTCCTCAAGAATAATACATTCTCAATGAAAAAGCAAAAGGATTATTTCACTCCATGATTTGAAGGACAATATATGTATTTTCTCTTTGAGTCCAAGGGTACTTTCGCCATTTCAAAAAAGACCTCAATTATATTTTCTTTTAAAGCCTTATGTGAGAAAAAAAACAATTAGCATTGCAAAATCTAAGTTAAGTTATACCCTTTTTTTTATTTTTTTTATTTTTTAATATTTTAAGCAACACCCTTTTGTCTCCACATGGTTGGATAAGGCTCCTTATCCACTTCTTATGATATATGTTTCCACCCTTGGATTTCTCCTCTTTCATGTTAGTTTTTGGAGAATAAAAAGTGGGGCCATCTTTTGTGGTCCATGCTACAAAAGGGTAGATGCAAAGATATGTATGGAACCTTAGTTTATTGATTTATTTATTGGTGTATCATATGAGATGAATGGAATAATGATGGAAGAAAAGCATATTTAGGGTTTTTGAACTTTGCTAAAAGCAATATACTCTCACACTTCTCTTTTGCGAACTTGTTGATTTAGAGGTCAACATCTCACGTGAGGTCGTTACCATATTCATTACATTTTTTGGGCCACTTATCTCTTTTTCTTTTTTTTCTTCTTGGGCCACTTATTTTTTTTTTGTTTTTTTTTGGATAAGTCAGTTGGGGAAGCCCTTACTCGTTTCTATTAAATAATAATAAAAAGAAATACAACTCATAAATTTACAACCTTTCGATATAGAAATTACGCAAACATAAAAAATATGATCACGTCTAGCGGATAGACACTTAGTTATTTCTTTTTCATACTCGAAATTAGATTAAACATTGGTTTTGGTCCCATTTGATCCCTAAACAAGCCGATTTGGTTCACCTTGTGGTCGATTAAATAGATTTTGAGCTTATAATAATTCATGTCATCTTTTTTTTATATATATAATAATTTTTATCTTGGGGATGAGTATAGATGAATTGAGAGCTTTGGGGTCCAATAAATTCCCCTACCTCGGTGGTTTGGTTGTGGGATCAAAGTGAACAATTAGGTCCTCTGAGACCAATAAATCTTTTTTATTTCTTCCATAACCTATGTTAAGTTCCAAAAAGATATTTATTTGTTGAGAATAGCTTTAGTGGTCTTTACATTTATTATCATATGGTCTCGAGCTCAAAACATGTTGCTAGGGGACCTTTTAAATATGAAAATCTTCATATCATCTTTGCTTACACCTAATAATCCATTTTAAAAAAGATAATAATTTGAGAGCTCAAAAAATTGCTTCAAATCGAGTCACATACCGTCATTTGATTTCTTATCTTTTTTTAATTTTCTTATAGGGCCAAATGAAATATGATATGAAAAATTTTGGATAAAAAAATAGGGATTGTATGCTATGAAATCATTTATTTTTGGCACAAGAAGTTCACAATCATTGTTAGCCGTTGGATGTAAAATCCAATAGATGAAAATGTGTTGCAACATTCGAAAAATTTTATTTTAGACTCTGTGCCTAACTAGTGATACATCATCAACCACCAAATTTCAAATCAAACATCAATTATGATTATGACCTCTTTGTATCAAAAGTACATGATTTCATTGTATACATTTCAATAAATATTCTTAACTCTATGTTTTGGGCACAACGATTGCCCGCGTGAGACCACCTAGGATATCCCTTATCTGTTTGTGACTTCACATAAAAATTTAACCTAGAATGATACCATAGACCAAAATTTAGTAAATTTCTCATTGCGACAATATTGAGTCAATTTCTTATTCCATGGGTCCACAATAAATTCTGCTATGAAATATCAAACATCAAGCTCTTACTCCCCCATCTCTGACAGATTCCTCTATGATGTCCCTTATTTTCTGTAGACTTGTTTTTGACTCAAGTTTTCAGCCATAGAATGTAGATATTTTCTCAACTTTTTATGATAGGTTTAGTTGGATCTGAACCTTAGATGTTATTCAGTGGTCCTCACTCCTTAATGGGAGAAATTATGTTAAATTTAAAATTCCTTTTTTTAGTAGCCACAAACTCAAACTCATACATAATTTGGTAGGATAACTGCAGTAAATATTGGCCATGG